TTACACATGAGCCCTGCAGTATGCTACAAAAATTGCATCTCTGCCTTGTTATATTTCATATAACACCATATTTAGACCATATCATGAACATCTGTATTTATGTTATTCCATCATTCGGTATTTGCACCTAACGCCAGTATTGCAATACCCCTTTGTTTAGTACTCCCCCCTGGACTATATCGCTTCCAAAGATCGATTTAGATCTAACGATATAACGGTGTTTCAAACTCTCTTTCGAGAGCTGAGGTCTAAATATGGTAAATATGCTCCCATTTACACAGATGGTTCCAAAGATGGTGATCGGGTAGCTTCGGCTAACGTCACACCATCTGGAATCATGTCTGACAGACTTCCACCTACTGCTTCCATATTTACTGCCGAGCTCCATCTTCAGTCATCTTCTAATTTAAAACACGTCGTATTTAATGATTCCCTGTCCTCTTTGCGAGCAATAAACAATAAACAGTTTGTACACCCAGTTACTATCACACGAGTTTATCGGCAAGGGCATAGTCCTTTGCTAGCTCCCCAGTCATGTTGATATTAAAGGGAATGATCAAGCAGACTTAGCTGCCAAGTCTGCTGTAGATCTTCCCATATCACAACTTCCTTTACCCTATACAGATTTTAAATCTTTTATCAACCATTTTAGGATCTTGCAGACACAAATAAACTCCATCACAACAAGCCCCTCCTTGGAGATTGGCCTAGCTCCTACGGGTCTAACAGGAGAGATGAGGTTGTTTTGTGTCGCTCTCGTATTGGTCAGAGTTTTTTTTAACTCACAGTGAAGCACATTTTGCTTTAATTCAAGCATCTCAAGGATGTTAAATCGCATTTTTACCGTTGCCAGTCATTACATCACATATTTGCCCAACCGAGTTTTAGACTTTTTAAAAGAGACAGGATTTTATCATCAATTTAAATTGTTTATATATATATATATATATATATAATACCACCTTCATCATCCATGTTCTCCTCTGGTGCCTTTCAAGGCATTAAAGCTCAATAGGAGAAAGGGCGACTTAATTTCAACTCCCGCAATGATGAATGCTACAATGATACATTTTCCATTGCGGAGCTTCGGGATTCGCTAAAGCGAGCTCGGGATACTGCAACTGGTCCAGATGAAATACACTACCAAATTCAAAAACATTTACCCTTTTCCACTCTCTTAATTTTACTTGATCCAACACTGCCTGCATGCATTTCTGTCAGAAACGAGTTTTGCATCCTGATCCAGAACTATTTTTGGATGACAATCGCCTTCCAGTTGTGGATGAAACCAAATTTCTGGGGCTGATATTTAATAAGAAATTATCATTTATACCCCACATTAAAAGCCTAAAAAAGAAATGTCTGAAAGCCCTCAACATATTGAGAATCTTATCAAATACTGACTGGGGAGCAGACCGTAAGGTCTTGCTCCGATTATATCGAGCTTTAATAAGATCAAAACTCGATTATGGGTATATTGTGTATGGGTCTGCCCGCGAGTCTTATCTCAAGGAGCTCGACACCATACACAACCAGGGACTTAGAATCAGTTTAGGAGCATTTCGTACATCTCCAGTGGACAGTTTATACGTGGACAGGCATTAAAGCTCAACAGGAGAAAGGGCGACTTAATTTCAAGTCCCGCAATGATGAATGCTACAATGATACTTGTTCCATTGCAGAACTTCGTGATTCGCTAAAGCGAGCTCGGGATACTGCAACTGGTCCAGATGAAATACACCACCAAATTCTAGGAAATGGGAGTTCCTCAGGGAAGTATATTATCTCCCACTCTTATTCTATCAAAATAAATACCATGCCAACGAGCCTTAAACGTGGGGTCGACGGCTCTCTATATGTTGATGACTTTCAATCGAACGTCAGTTGCGGCTTTGCTTGAATTCTATTCAACGATGGGCAACTGACAATGGATTTCGATTTTCGAAATCCAAGACTGTGTTCAGGTTTACATCCTGATACGGAACTTACACTGGATGGAAGCTCCATTCCAGTTGTAGATGAAACGAAATTCTTGGGTTTGATATTTTATAAGAAATTATCATTTATCGTTCATATTAAAACCCTGAAGACGAAATGTCTGAAAGCCCTCAACATATTGAGAGTCTTATCAAACACTGACTGGGGAGGGGACCGCAAGGTCTTGCTCAGATTATATCGAGTTTTAATAAGATTTGAACTCGATTATGGGTGAATTGCGTATGGGTCTGCCCGCGAGTCTTATCTCAAAGAGCTCGACACCATACACAACCAAGGACTTGGAATCAGTTTAGGAGCATTTCGTACGTCTCCAGTGTACAGTTTACACGTCGAGGCTCATGCGCCCTCTTTACACATGAGCCCTGCAGTATGCTACAAAAATTGCATCTCTGCCTCGTTATATTTCATATAACACCATATTTAGACCATATCATGAACATCTGTATTTATGTTATTCCATCATTCGGTATTTGCACCTAACGCCAGTATTGCAATACCCCTTTGTTTAGTACTCCCCCCTGGACTATATCGCTTCCAAAGATCGATTTAGATCTAACGATCTAACGGTGTTTCAAACTCTCTTTCGAGAGCTGAGGTCTAAATATGGTAAATATGCTCCCATTTACACAGATGGTTCCAAAGATGGTGATCGGGTAGCTTCGGCTAACGTCACACCATCTGGAATCATGTCTGACAGACTTCCACCTACTGCTTCCATATTTACTGCCGAGCTCCATCTTCAGTCATCTTCTAATTTAAAACACGTCGTATTTAATGATTCCCTGTCCTCTTTGCGAGCAATAAACAATAAACAATAAACAGTTTGTACACCCAGTTACTATCACACGAGTTTATCGGCAAGGGCACAGTCCTTTGCTAGCTCCCCAGTCATGTTGATATTAAAGGGAATGATCAAGCAGACTTAGCTGCCAAGTCTGCTGTAGGTCTTCCCATATCACAACTTCCTTTACCCTATACAGATTTTAAATCTTTTATCAACCATTTTGGGATCTTGCAGACACAAATAAACTCCATCACAACAAGCCCCTCCTTGGAGATTGGCCTAGCTCCTACAGGTCTAACAGGAGAGATGAGGTTGTTTTGTGTCGCTCTCGTATTGGTCAGAGTTTTTTTTTAACTCACAGTGAAGCACATTTTGCTTGAGTTCAAGCATCTCAAGGATGTTAAATCGCATTTTTACCGTTGCCAGTCATTACATCACATATTTGCCCAACCGAGTTTTAGACTTTTTAAAAGAGACAGGATTTTATCATCAATTTAAATTGTTTATATATATATATATATATATATATATATATATATATATATATATATATTTCATTTTTGTATTTAGTATTTATATGCATAAAAGTTGTATTTTATTTTTAATTTTACTAACTGTGATATTGTTTTATTTTTGCATATAATGTTTTACTGTGATATAATTTAGCCTGTCTCGTAATATTCACCATATGTTTGGCGCATTATAGCCCGGTTTGAGCTGACGTGCCATAAAACTACATTTCTTTCTTTCTTTCGTAGGATTAAAGGTAAAAGTAGTGCATTATCAGTTAACCATCTAAATGTTGATAATACCACCTTCATCATCCATGTTCTCCTCTGGTGCCTTTCAAGGCATTAAAGCTCAACAGGAGAAAGGGCGACTTAATTTCAACTCCCGCAATGATGAATGCTACAATGATACATTTTCCATTGCGGAGCTTCGGGATTCGCTAAAGCGAGCTCGGGATACTGCAACTGGTCCAGATGAAATACACTACCAAATTCAAAAACATTTACCCTTTTCCACTCTCTTAATTTTACTTGATCCAACACTGCCTGCATGCATTTCTGTCAGAAACGAGTTTTGCATCCTGATCCAGAACTATTTTTGGATGACAATCGCCTTCCAGTTGTGGATGAAACCAAATTTCTGGGGCTGATATTTAATAAGAAATTATCATTTATACCCCACATTAAAAACCTAAAAAAGAAATGTTTGAAAGCCCTAAAAAAATTGAGAACTATTTTTGGATGACAATCGCCTTCCAGTTGTGGATGAAACCAAATTTCTGGGGCTGATATTTAATAAGAAATTATCATTTATACCCCACATTAAAAACCTAAAAAAGAAATGTTTGAAAGCCCTAAAAAAATTGAGAACTATTTTTGGATGACAATCGCCTTCCAGTTGTGGATGAAACCAAATTTCTGGGGCTGATATTTAATAAGAAATTATCATTTATACCCCACATTAAAAACCTAAAAAAGAAATGTTTGAAAGCCCTAAAAAAATTGAGAACTATTTTTGGATGACAATCGCCTTCCAGTTGTGGATGAAACCAAATTTCTGGGGCTGATATTTAATAAGAAATTATCATTTATACCCCACATTAAAAACCTAAAAAAGAAATGTTTGAAAGCCCTAAAAAAATTGAGAACTATTTTTGGATGACAATCGCCTTCCAGTTGTGGATGAAACCAAATTTCTGGGGCTGATATTTAATAAGAAATTATCATTTATACCCCACATTAAAAACCTAAAAAAGAAATGTCTGAAAGCCCTCAAAATATTGAGAGTCTTATCAAATACTGACTGGGGAGCAGACCGTAACGTCTTGCTCCGATTATATCGAGCTTTAATAAGATCAAAACTGGATTATGCTTGTATTATGTATTGGTCTGCCCGAGAGTCTTATCTCAAAGAGCTCGACACCATACACAACCAAGGAGCCCTCATTGCGGAACAGACGTGATAAACTGGCCCTGCAGTATGCTACGAAAATAGCATCTTTACCAAATCATATTTCATTTAACACCATATTTAGACCATATCATGAGCATCTATATCTGCTTAAGACTAAAGTTATTCCACCTTTCGGTATTCGCATACAACCCCTTTTGTCCGAGGTTGGGTTAGGGTTAGGGTTAGGGTTAGGAACCTAGGTGATAATTGTATATATAGTCATGATAATTGTAGATATAAAGATATCTAATTCCAGGTGCCTGTAGGAGAATGGACACAGGAAAAGGGGTTCAAGTCTGACCCTTTTATATCAACTATATTACACCTTAATTTTAAGGATGTGAATATGGGGGTGCGTGTTCTATGTTTGACGTTGGAAAACCCAATTCATATAGACTATGATCTCCTATATGAATGTGAAATAAAATGCACAGATTCAACAGAAACGAGTTCAGCAATAATAGAATTCAAAGCATTGGGTAAATAAATAAATATTATCTAGTTTGACCATTTTTGGGGTAGTCATTCCAATATGATAGGAATCTGTGGGCGAAAAACTGTTTCAATAGCATCTTGTGTAATTGAAAGTGTAATATACAAGTTACAATCAATAATAAGCAGCAATTGTATTCCATGTGCGGTGGGGAAAGAGATGGGTTTATTTTAATTTGTCTTGGTCTCAATTCATTTATTTTGATAAAGTAAATTTCACATGTGAACCCGGACCTCGGCTTCGTAATCATATTTTATTTTCATTTAGTGCTCGGAGTCTGTTAATCTGATGATTAGCAAAAGGATTATACTTTGGAATATATATTTAATTTTAACATTGATACACTTTGTCAATCTCACCAATTAATTATTCAATTCTAATATTACATTATTTGTCGGGAAACAATATTTAACTTAAAAAGGAACTTTTAACTGTTTACCCCAAAAACGTAGCACTAACTAACTCTCTTACCCTCAGTGGAGGTGATCACTGCTATCATCATCATTCCAATCTGTAATAATATTGGGAGATTTGTCTTAATATGTAAAATAACGTTAGGCGAATATGAGCATTATATTAATATTATGTTCCATATTCATAGACAAGGCATATCTCACGTAGACATACTGTTAAACTGATACATAAAATCAGCTACAATTTGGTCAACATTGAATTCTGGGTGAAAAACAAATAAGACGTCTGACACTCCTGGTAGAAAATTTCCACTGTCTATGTAAGGGGGGGGGGGGAGTCCTCGACGCCATGTGGCATAAAGGCCAATCATCATAAGTAATGACGTAATATTTTTCCAATTGAATAATGTTACTTTGATGCTATAGAGATCAGACAAGCATTAGGTTCTTGACAGAGCAGATACCATGTGGGTCCGTTGGGAGAAACAGCTGGTTTTTGGGAGAGAAAGGATGTAGGGATTTGTATCAGCAAGCCCGCTTTGCAAGTTGGTGGGTTTGAGAGAATGACTTTATTGTAACCAATGCGTGTAACCTATGGTGTGATTATCGGTCCCACCCGAGGAGTGAAAATCAAAACAATAATAAATTACAACGCCTGGTTATGGTGTCTTCGAATTGATGCCCCGGCATTGGGTAAGTGTTTTGTCCATAGCAAAAATGTAATCACACCAAAGTAAATTCAAACTTTTGATATTCTAAATTTTATAAATTGTTAAAGGACCAAAATGGACCGTCAGAAAAAAGGAAGTGTATTCACGATTGGGACAAGCTGCTAAATTTATGTGGGAAAATACTTATCCTTTCACATCAGAAGCCGTAATTATCACCAGACAGAAAGATGGAGAACTAGTGAGTATCTGGTACATTGTTTAGTTTAAAGTCTTTCTGAAAATTCATCTAATCATCTCATAGTATATATTTATTTATCTTCGCTAATATGTTTTCAGTATATCTAAAGAATATACGAATACTGCCTGGAGGGAGCAAACATTTAATTACTATCACGAGTACAAATGGTTTGAACCCTAGAATTAGTAGAGATATGGTCGGGACCACCACAATTACAGCTCTTTAAGTCTAGAGGACGGTTCACTCCCATTTTGACTATAATTTGTATTAACCCCCAAATCATGAACCCCAGCGTATCAGCACTGAACTGTTCCACTGATTAAACATACATTATGCAAGAGTTAAATCTGAAAATTGCAGGACTTTCTTTAGGCCTGGAATGTTATCTAAATTATTAATCAGACATTACTTAATTAACTTATCCAGACCATAATCAACTCTCAATGTCATCGCTAGCCTACGATATTTACTGGCTTATAATCCGATCTGCTGCTCAACGCTCATTCATGATTAAATCAAAAAGTGGATAATCGAGACTATGTTTGTTATCCTACCGACTTTCGTAAATCGCTGAATTCTAGGTTCAGAGTGAATCAATGTGACTGAAATTTTCAGCAAATTGCCTTTACACTATCTAGTTTTTAACTATTACAGTGAGAACTGTCAGGTCTTTATATAATCTCCCATAATGTATCTTTAAGAGATGTAATTAATGTAATGATAATTAATGAAAAAGCTTATTGGTTTAAACACAATTTTGAGTACAATACTGATATAATATTTATTATATTTTGAGATTACATTGAATTTAATACTTGCTTATACTGTATGGGATGAATTGTTTCGAATTTTGTACATCCCTACTTCGAGTTCACTATCTATTCTTTTTAGAATTGCTATATAATAAATATTGTGTATTTTTTATTTTCGAGACTACTGAAGTAGAAAAATATTACTTCCATTCAAGATTGAATCAAACGATACGTCTGTAAATTTATTTAAATATTGAGATGTGCGAATGATCTTTATATGTTCAATTGATCTTGGGAGAGAAATGGAATGAAAGGGGGTTTAACGTTCTACTCTTTTGCTCCTACCTTGGGAGAGACACCACCAAAACGAAAACAGGTGTATAAGGAAATAGACAATACACTACAAAAACCGCAGACCCATACTATTTGCAAAAAGACATAAATTCAGTATTTGGATGCTATAGGACATTTGCTAATATTAGGGTTTTATGTTAATATTCTATTGGGAGTGCTATGTAAATATTTTATTTTGACTACTAGTGCTTTTCTATATGATTGTTATGTAAATTACTTTTTAATCTGTGTTTTTGCGTTTATATCTATATGTAAATATAAATTTTATTTTTTTTGTCTTCTGTCTAAATCATTGCTTTGTTTTCTATCTATTAAAATTTATTTTGTTATAAGTTGTAATGAAAATTGGGTGTTTTTATGGAAGAATCTATTTTAAATAAGGAGAGGGTATATAAGTAGGAATAATAAAACCACCAGGCCGTATAATCTGTTGTTATAAGCTGTAGGCAAAATGCGATGTAGTCGAAATGGGAGGGTACCATCCGGATAATAAAGTATATAATCGTTTTCTCCATCTAAATGTCTTGGACATTTCGTGTAGTATTATGTGCTTGGCTTCAGATTAATAACAAAACTATTTGTTAATTTATTCACCAGGAGGAACTAGGCTTTTGGTACAACGGAGAGTTTACACCAAGCAACCTGTTGCTCAACAAGGTCACCTTGAACAAGATGCCAATGAAAGACAATGTTGAGAGAATCCATCTGACGTTGGCAAACGTCTCCCAAGAAGATTTCGGATGGGACTACACATGTAAACTCATTCTGGGTGATGGAGAACAATCATCTACTGTAACAAGATTAACACGTAATTATATGGAATTCAAATAATGTATATTAAAATTTTAATGATGTGCTGAACTGTCGTATTCTTTTTTTATACGCCTACAATTTCACGTCGCCCCTGTCCGTCGGGACTCCCGTTCACATTTGTTTGTGGACGATGTACATGCACAATTGTTATCTGATTTTGACTAGAGTTTAGGACTAAATAATAATTCTTAAAGATCATACACAATTGATGACAATTCAACATGTATTTAATTAAATATGATATAAAAAAGCATATTTAAAACTGAATGATATCTATGATAATGAAACTATAGGGCCTATCCTACAAGCTAAATTTGAATGGTACTGAATCAGAAAAAAATACAAACTTTTCCCTCAAAATAGAAAAAAAAAGAAAGAAGTAAATTGTTTTTACACACAGGTAAATATATAACGCCACAAACTATTTTTATAATAAATAATAAATTCACAGTAATTGACGATCATGTAGCCCGCACGGGGCATTGATTATGCATATCAAAACTGCTCTCATGTCATTCAAAAACAATAAAGCACCGGGTAATGTCGGACTGCTTAATGTTGAATTTTACAGAAAGTACTGGCCAATTGCAAGGATCAGTGTACTTATTTCATTCAAAACGAAACCTTACCAGTTTCTCAGAGACAGTCAGTCCTTTCAATATTGGTGCTTATCAGACCGTAACTTCGTGGATTATGGCTCCTGATTTTTATTTGATTTCGAATATATTACGGTTCAGTTTGAATTTGAATCGACCCCCTTACACAAATAGAGTAAGAGTATGTAATACAAAGGTGGTGGGCTCTCTAGAGTCACAATTTTTATCCGATTTTTATACCTTTGGCGCATACCTGGATTGTGGCCCCTGATTGTACGAAAAATCGTGTTTGTGGCCTGTGGACGCTCTAGAGGATGATCCCGAATTTTCCCAAAATGTGGAAGTATTTTGCATGACAACCGATTGTTTTCTTGTTTAGCATTACATATGTTCCGTAGAATTCTGATATATTTTATATTGCTGGGTATAAAGGATGAACAAAGGGTCTTTGCAAATCGGGCATAAGCATTACCCAAGCAGAAATCACGCTCTTACATATTGAGAGTCAAAGATAAGATTGATCAATAGTTGGAAACTAAAGTTATAACTAGTGTCGTGAACTGTGATGAATATATTTAATTCTGCTATAATACCTGTTATCAGTTCTCATTCGAGGGGTTCACAATCCTAACACATTGCTCTTGTATCTTGTAATGTTTGATGCTATGTAAAATGCTATGTAAGACCAAACAGTTCTTCATTCGATGTTCTTATTTCTTAGTTATACGTTTGTATAACAAAATTAAAATATATATCTTAAAATCAGTATTTATATCACAAATTAGACATTTTTCTTATCAGATTTTTAAGTTGTGTCTTTGCTTAATATAATGATAAAATATTTCTTTTAGAAAAACAAATAATTACATTTACATTACATTTTCGTTTATGTTTGTGATGAAATCTAAATGTAATTGTTTGATTTTCTAAAAGAAATGTGATCATTATATTAAATTTTAAAAAGTTACAATTTACAAATCTGATAGGACAAATGGTTATTTTAAGATAAAAAATGTTAATTTTAGTGTACAAATGTCGAAATACGAAAACAAATTAAGAAATAAAAATTAAGGACTATGAATTAAGAACATTGAATAACGAGCTGTTTGGTCTTCCATAAAATATTTCATGTTAAAAGAGGTCTAATTTCACATACCTCTATTTTATATTTGATAGAATTCAGACCAATTGTACATTTTTATCTATAGAACGTGAAGAATATGTATTAGAATTTGAAACCGCTGCAGCAACAAGATCATCAGTGGGTTTCTGTACCATATTAACTGTTGCTGTGGCTTCTATCATCTCTTATATGAAAAACTGGTAAGTATTTTGGTATGAGAAATCTTATTCTAGACACTGCCTCGTCATTTATTGGCCAACCCGAGTTATACGTCGCAGCGTTAAAGATTAAAAAAAGAGACCAAATATTTGTTTTATCTTTGGAGTTTTGATGCTTGTTTTTATTCTCCAAAGTCGTAGGGAGGCGTTTGATTGGGTGCATATATTCACAATACTGTCCTGTGAATTCCAAAAAGGCGATCATTCGCTCAACTGATGGTACTGGACTGTAATGATACTCTCACTACAGTTAACCAAGATCATAATATAAACTCTTTTTGCCATAGAAATGATTTTTATACCGGAATCTCCGTATCTTCATCTTTCTCCCAGGGCCATTGCCACCCAATTTTGTTGAAATGAAATACTTTGTCCATTTGTAAGCCTTTTGTTTCTTGAACATAAATGTAATAATAATATTTGCATATTCTATGTTAAAAGTGAAAGGGCATTTGAAACAAAACACGGTCTGATATTTTTCTTTTCATATTTCAGGATTTAGCAGGAAGAGCTAGTGATTTTTCTATTTTTTTGATCTTACGATCCTTTTTTTTACGGGATCACTATTTCTTTGCCAATCAATGTTTACTTTCATAGTTTAACAATTTCACAAAAGCAAAACTATACTAGCTCTCACTGGCCGTTAGAAAAAAGCATCCGGTGTCATTACGTTTAAGGCCCGTAATATTCTCTAACAAACAAATTCAGAAGTCTCCAATTTTAAAATGCGTCGATATTCAAATGGATATTATTAATTCCCACAATAATCTTGATATTGTCAATGGAGTAAAAAAGAAAGCTAAAATATACAACAACTAGGAGCTCGTTTGATACAACCTATTATAATATTAATAATAACTAGATCTGTCAGGCAGATATAAAAGATTTCATATTCATGGTCACTTCCTCTCATAGGTTAACATATCAAAAAGAAATTATAATTATAAAAATTGGTCAGAACTCACTATCTCCTTTCTAATTAGTTCGCGTTTCTCGTCCACCCACAACCTCTGAAACGACATATCACACATGTATGTTGCTATTGGTATTTACAGAATACTTTTCGAGCCAATTTCTGTCGCCATTTTGGAGTTTGGCGGCAATATTGGATCAACCGTTTGTGAAATGAATATGAAACCAAAATGAGTCGGGTGATCAACAATATCTAAAAAATGATATAATACACGGGTGATTTTGCCAGTAATGTTTGTCAATGTCAATTTCAGACCATTTTGGGCAGTCATCTTGGATTTTCGGCTACCCAGGAGTTAGCCAGTAGATTTCAGAGGTATAACAAACTACAAATATCTTCACTAGTGTCGTTTCTATCAGAAACCACTGTGAAACCTTGTTCCCAGAGAAAAAGTTACGGATCTAGGGATTATGACCCGACTATATCCAGAAATGTTTTAATTACGGGAATAGAAGGCGGAAGATGCAAAATTGGTTTTTACTTCCGGGATGAGATGCGACGTAATTTTCGAAATTCGGAAATAGCAGATTTAAAGTAAATATTTCAAAGTACGCACAGAACAGTTTTTTTTAGAAGAATACCTATGTAGGTCATTTCGGTGATTTCGGATTCGTAAAACGTTTTGAAAATATATTCATTCCAAAGTCACCACCTGTAATAATAATAATAGTACTAATGATTATATAACTTTAACAAAAACAATAAGTGTTATTTTATGGAATATAATTAATTTGATACTAAAAGAAATACACTTTTGAGTCATTCCATATCAACTGGACCAATTGTGGGAACATGACCCCCTCCCAAAACATTATAAAAAATATATGTCATAGTATATTGCCTTAAACTAAGAAATTCGAAATTTTACCCCTCTAGGTTGGAAACTCACTGAGAAATGGCCATTTGAAATCAGGGTACTGAAACGGATCATAAATTCTATATTTTTTTTCAGGTTTTCGAATGCATTAAACTCACATTTCTAATAGGAGTAGAACTCCCTAACTTCGTAATCTAAGACAACTTTTGGTGTAGATTATGAATTTAGCACCACACACAATGTGCGATTCACACAGTTCGTGCCACAAATGTGGAACAAATAAACTATTCACTTTTTTCCAGGATTTCCACAGCCACTGACAAACTAAATTGTTCAAGTTTTTTTTTCCTGTAGACACTTATTTAAGTGGTTTTTTTATCTTGCTGAAGTGGTACCTTTCATTATCAATTAAAAACATCTGTTGTTCATAATATTTTTTTCGGGAGGGGGGGGGGGGCAAATAGATAGCGCGCTGAATTATAAGGTCTGTTATTCAGTCAACTTGCGTGGTTTCGATTTCCCGGATGTATGTGACAAGGAGTAGTGTCGCCTGTCCAACCTCGTGGATTTTCTCCGGGTCCTTCGGTTTCCTTCCACCGCTAAAGACCCCTACGGGCAAGCGAATTATTGAAACAAAATAGAACCATATGTTAGTCCCAAAATGACCTGGTTTTATCCGATTTGACATATGTCGCATTTTTAGATTTTGGATCCCCTACAGTTTTTATCAGATTTAATGTTGTGGTTTCTTTATAAGTTTACTGAAATACTTTTACTTGTCTTTTATAGATGATGGTATCTTATAAGTTTACTAATATGCTTTTACATGTCTTATATGGTATCTTACTAATAAACTTTTACATCTATTATATGTTATGGTAGTTTACTGATATACTGTTTTTATATGTCTATTATATGTTATGGTTTTCTTTGCTAAACCTTCGCTTTTTTATTTCTATAGAATCTATTCGTTTTTTCGAATTGTAAAAGCGCCATAGAGCAGCTGTTTCCAGCTGGATTTTGGGGCTATATAAGTTTAATAAAATATTATTATAACAGAAATATATGTTTTAGGATTGGTTAAAAATTGCGTGTCTGAGTTATGCCCCCTGCAAAATGTGAAGTATGTACCAAGTTTTGTGACTCTCCAGGGGAGAGAATTTAGATTAAACTTAATATATGGGTTAAGGATCAAAATTACTTGAATGGGGTCGATTGTGGTACGCATCTAACCTTCTGTTCAGGATTTATGCCCCCTTTTCCGACAACTTTGGGGATACCCTATTGAACGTTCCGGAATTGAATAGCCCCAATCCCAAATATAGTAACAATCAAAGTGAATAGGTGGTTTTCGGTTTACAACGCATGCGCTGATTGCATGACGAAAACATGAATGGTAGATAGAATAAAGTTTTTATTTCAAATGGGATCATTGGGATCATGAGAGTGCAGGGTTTTCGCCGAACAAACAACATCGACAACATGGTCATCAAATGAGAAAGTATATTATAATAATATCAAACATCTGACAAACAGATTACCAGTTATCAACAGTTCATGACACACATGATATATAAGATAAAGGCTGACAAACGGCGAACGCTGTCTTCCCCAGTACTCCGCCATAGCTGTCCAACAGTGGAACGCCACACGTCATCTTAACATATTACCGTAAAGTTATTAAAGATATGTACAATGCATAAATGTATAAAGCAATACCCACAAGAGGACGACCCCGTCGATCTGTGACATTCATTTCCAAAGTCACCTCTGTTTATAAAAAAAATAGTGAACGCAATAGAAGCTACAGTTTATAACATATGCTTTGTAAATCGATGTGCCACATTCTGACAACGAGTGAATGCGTCTTTTGAGATGTTTCCTGTTCTCCGTCTGTTTCAAAATGTTGGCGTATCTTGCATGGAAGGAATGTGTGGCATATTAAAATCCCACAATGATGTTATTAAGACAACCACAGTTAAACTATATATCAATAACAAATGGTAATAAGGTTTAAATTAAATCATTTGAAACAGAACCTAAGACTGAGTAAATGAAATAGTAAAAGCCTGGGTCCTGTTTCTCAAAATTTTAACAAAAGATAAAATCCGAATTTTAGTAACACTATGTAATAGGTGAACCCCATATTGATAGGGGGGGGGGGCATCTGGTTCATTCGCTATTGCAGACAAAACTCATTTTTGGAATTTGACAGCTTTTAATGACAGTCAAGTGTTATTTGAATTCACATATCGATTTTATTTTCTAGATGCAAAATTTTATTTCTCCCTTCTGGACTATTCCCTGACAATTCTGAACTAGTTCAAATTATTTTAGCCTTTATTTCTGAAACGTTTTAACAGTTCTCATTATTTATTTCAAAATATGTTCTTTTCATTCTTAGCTATACATCCATGATTATTATTATCAAAGGAACACCGAGGAAGCCGTGATCATGGTTATTGTAGCAAAATAAATAGATGACACATGTTAATTAATCGCACATTTATTTTTTTCAAAAGCATCGAGCAATCAAACTACACACTAAGTATCATCACTCTCTATCAGATAGAATCAAGATTATCTTGTCCTAAAGCAGCGACCAATGAAATTGATTAGCTCTACTTAGCTTTAGCTCGAAATGTTAATCATCGAACCCAGTCAAGACATTCACCTAATGCACATCTACATCAACTTTAAACATTCTACCCCAATTAAAAGCAGAGTTGTTATGTTCCAAATTGCTTATCACTCCTTAGCCTAAGCAGACAATTCGCACCATCGAACATAGTCAAGGCATGGACCGTATATAGATGACCAGGCAACACCCGCGTAGCCTTCAGAATTCTGTGCCGCGGCTAAAAGAAGTCTTGACAATCCTGACTAAAAAAAGAATTACTTCCCCTCGTGTTTACCGTAGCAACAACGCATGCGCATTACTTTACTTGCGATGCGCGATCATCCACTATCTGTCAACTCGGATAATGGACGACTTGATCGACATTGAATGGGACCACAAGAACATCGATATACCGGTCGAGTTACAAGGTTTACTGGCAATTTGAAAAAACAAAACAATAAATAAAACAAAAACAAATAGCATTATCGTGAAAACAAACGGGTAGCATTTTATCCAGAAATTCACTGGGCGTGTGCCGTGTGCCGCGTGCGCGTTGATTCTGCAAGGATATTCGATTCATTGCCAAAATATATCATTTTATATGTACCGTTTTATTAGCCCAACAAATATCTGCAAGGATATTCATTGCCAAAATATATCATTTATATGTACTGTTTTATTAGCCCAACAAACAAAACTTTGTACAGGTACATAAATAGCTTTCTTCTGGTAATGAAGTTTGGACAATACAAATAAATTATACAACAAGAATATTTTAAAAAATGGTTATTCCCTAAATGAAAGCTGAATTTGCAATCATCCATAAATTAAAACTCAGCATAAAATATTTACATTTGTTGTGTGATTAATTAATAATTTAAATTAGGCCTAAATATATTTACAATATCAATTGTGTAATTAATAAATAATACCGAACCATTTCATTAAAAATATATTTACAATTATGTAATTAATATAGTAGCATTTCATTAAATATATATTTACAATTGTGTAATTAATAAATAATTAAACATACATTATCATTATGCAAGAGCTAAATCTGCCATTATTAATAAGACATTTAACTTATCCAGACCATAATCAACTCTCCATGTCATCGCTAGCCTGCGGTATTTACTGGATTATGATCCGACTATGTTTTTTATCGTACCGACTTTAGTAATGATGATCAAGGCTAAACTGACAATTCAATCGCTAAATTCATGGTTCATAGTGGATCAATTTGACTGAAATTTTCAGCAAATTCCCTTTACATTATTTAGTTTTTCACTATTATAGTGAGAACTGCCATCTCCTTATCTTATCTCCCATAATGTATCTTTAATTTAGTACCGTTTCATTAAAAATATATTTACAATTTGTGAAACACTAGATTGTTTTTGTTCAGATTATTATTCTTATTATTATTTTTCTTTTTCACTTTGATCATAAAATTCATATCTCAGCAACTATTTATATTTATGAATATTTTTTGATGGTACAAGGAGTAGCGTCACCTGACCAACCTCGTGGGTTTTCTTCGGGTTCTCCAGCTTCTCCTCCCACAGCTAAAGACCCATATGCGCATTATTAAAATAAAATTGAACCATGTGTTAGTTTCTCAACTCTATTGCAGATCTTTTGAGGTTAAGCGCACGCATCAATTAATTACTTACAGTGCGTATTTAACTTAAGGCTTTTCATTGTACATCTTCAGTCAATGCACCCAAAAGACCCCTTAGCAAACACACATTATCTCTAGTGTATGACTAGTAGTAGAATTATCAATGACAACAATTAAGTCCCACTTGCCACTGAGGAAGTTTAAATACACTTACTCACAACCCCACAAGTTTTATCGTGTTGTTAATACAATTAATATTACTTGCACAAATATATTTCAGCTCATAACAAAAACAAGGCACCATCAACTTCAGCTTGTAAAGATACCAAATCATCAGTTTTAGCTGATTTTATATATTTCAAACTTATATTATCAGAAGGAACAGATTTAACATTGAATCAATTAATAAAGTACAAAAGCTTATCAAAAATACAAGAAGAAATTAAAAGTATTGCAGAGAAAGTAAACTCTTATTTGAATAATAGTAAGGCTGAACTAATCAAGTGTATTGAGAAACCATTACATAACATTATGAATCATTTAGGTTGTGGCTCTTATTAATGTGAGTTGAAGTATTCTCTTTATTGAGTAAGGCACATCTTTCTTTAAACTTCTGGCATCTAAGAATATCTCTTGTCTTTCTACTAGAAGATTTTTGGTTGTCCTTTTGAGCATTTGTTTATTTCCATGTCAAGGTAACTGAGAAATGATTATTTCCATTTTCACATCTCCACAGATGTGCTTCTGAATATAAATCCATTACCTTAAGTATTTCCGCTAGTTTACTTGGGATCACTGGTTCCATCTTTGGTTGGGGATTGGCTACTCGCTTGGCTTGTTGAAAGGTTTCTAGGATCTTGCCCCAATCTGCACCATATGTAACCGCTAGGTTCTTCAATAACTAATAAGTCTGGAATGGTTCTTCAATCTTTTAATTACTGGAACTTATCTCTTACAAATGGCAATAATTCAATACATACAATGTACACTTACAGCACAGTGGATGACCGACGTAGCTGCTACTAAGTCGGGTGACCTAATGACTTTCCTATTGATGTACATTAGCCTTAAAAACCGAGGTCCCGTGTATATATTGGAATGCACGTAAAAGATCCCCTGGCAGTTGGAATTCGATATAAGAGTAGGCGATAGTGCCGCTTCCCGGGCAAAATTTCCCTCATAGCACACTGTATGGCGTATGCCCGTCTTCATTAGCCCAGGTTAGGAGCAGAACAGTAGGACGTTAAACCCAATTCGGTCGTTCGTTCGTTTCTGGAGTTTTACGTCCACTTCCACCTAAGGTGATATCGTAGACAATAAACCCCATTTCATTTCATTTCATTTTATATTCTAATTGTAATTGGATAAGCTGAAGTGTTGACATCATAACATATACTATACAGGATTATCACTAGAGACATTAACATAAATAAACAAAAATGGATTAAATACTTAACTAATTAGCTTCTATCCTGATTTATATTAACCATGAGAAATTAAATACTATGTAAAACTGACTGGTCATTATGCCTGGTCATATATATGACCAGGTAGTATTTAATACAGCCATTCACCCAATACAGGGCTAGACTTACATCACAACTTGGCTCCCAAGATGGATTATCTATAGTAAGTTATCAATGGTCAGCTATGATAGAGATTAGAGACAATCGTAGTAATGAGATAATCCATCTATAAACATTAGTCAACTTAGTAAATGAATGAATGGATGTCACTTCAATACTACCCATTAACAACTATAAAATATTCTTAAGTTTAAATATAT